TTTGAGGGCAGGGAGTGGCTTTTGGGACATCCCCACACTCCACCGGCCGTGGCTTGAGGCCACCGGCTATGTTTTGTTGCAATTGGCCAAATGTGATGGCCGGCCGGCCAAGTGTGGTTTTCAACAGATATCTCTGCAGACAGCTGGCAGCTGTCATTCCAGGCCATACCCCAGCCCATACCTAGACGTGGGGTGTTTTGAGGAGCTGCAGATTGATACATATCTATATCAATCAAGCTCTCTCACATAAAGAAAAAGAGGAGAAAAAGAGAGGAGAAGAGAAGAAAAAAAGGAGGAGAAAAAGGAAACTTAGACAACATTTTTAAGAGCTTGAGCTTTAGGGTTAGGGTTTACATATATCCTCTATCTCTATATCTCTCTCTCTCTCTTGTGTTTAGTGTGTGTTTTTGGTCTCATTTTTGTGCACAAACACCCACCATCACACCTTTTCTTAGTGGCTGAGGTACCAGAGGTCTTTCCTTGAAGCTTTTGGACTGATTTGAGCTCAAAGAAGCAACTGGTCCACCACTTTTGAAGAAGGTCTACAAGGGTAAGACTTTTGTCCCTTTTTATCCCATTCTTGCATACTCTTTTTGACTATCTTGCAACTGTTTTTAGACTTGGTGTATAACACATAAAAGTTTTTTTTTGGGCCCTCTAAATAGTTGTTTAAGAGTGCTCTAAGCTTTGAGGTTGTTTGACCTCTCTTAAGGCTTGTTTGGCCCTTGTTTTGTGCCATTTCGGTTGAGCTCCAGGACCATTGTGTTTGGGCCTCCTCACCACTGAAATCTTGAGGGATTTCAGAGGTGAGGATGGTGCCTTGAGGTCCTAGGAAGGAGAGGGCCACCCCCTCTCCTTGTTGTCCTTGAAAAGGGTCATTTTTAGCCTCTTGAGGGAGCATATAGTTTGAGTGTGTATTGACTATGCCTTGACTGATTTTCATGCTTATTATGTCATAATATAGCATTGTTGTATGTTGGTTTTGGTACACCATGCTTGCTTAGCACATATGCCTTGTAATGCCTTGTTTTAGCCTTAACATGTCCTATGCTTTGAGCCCTTATTCAAGCATGTTTAGGCCTAGCTTTGTGAAGCTTTTATGTTTGTCTTGTCATGCTTAAGGTCTGTCCTTGGCTGTTTTGGTCGACCAAGACATGCATTGCATAGTCCCTTTGCATCTTGGCTTGTTAGCCTCAAGTGTGTGAGTGTGTAGTATGCGTTGCTTGCATCATTTTCAGTGGTTTGGAACCACTTACCATGCTATTTCAGTCCTCATAACATGCTTGCATGCATGCCTTTGATGCCTCTTTGATGCTTTAAAAGCTTGTGTTGTATGCTTCATGTTTGGCCTCTTTTGCATGCTTCCATGTTTAAGCCACTTAGATACCATCTAGGTGTTCCCTTTGCATGGTCTAGGTGTGCCTTAAACCTGTTTTAAGCCCTCTTGGCCTTGTGAGGCTTGGTTGGCTTAGCCATGGTTTAAGTCTCCTAGACTTGCCTCAAGTACTTGGACCAATTGTACGCTATGTTTGTCTTGTTTAGGTTGGTTTGGCACCATCATTAACATGGTTTTTAGAGCTTACATTGCATGCCCTTAGTCCATGTTTAGTCTCTTTCAAGCGTGCTTGAGAGTTGCCTTCGATGTTTAAGTGTTGGCCCATTAACATGTGCATGTGTGTGTGTGTGTTTGGTCCTCATGTTTGAGCATTTTGGCCACTGTTTTAGGATAGCTTGAGGGCTGCCTAAAATTAGTCTAAGTCCATCCCCTTTGCTTGGTTGTGTGCTCACCTTGTATGTTTGCTTGCATACTTGCATATTCGCATTGAATTGCCATGTTGCATGCTAGCTCACATGCTTAGGATTGCATTGCATGAGTATGCATGCTTGACCTCTTGAAGTGAGTATGATAAGAGGTTGGGTTCAATTTGTTTGTTTATGTGCATTGCATTTCATTTGGAAATCCAAAAAGCACACTTGATTCTTTGGGCCATCATGCATGGAAATGCGCGATTGGTGGTCCGATAATCGAGAATCATATCCCTTTGAGTCATGAATATGATAAGGGGTGTGATTGGTGCATGCATTGCTTGAAATACATTGCCATGTCAAGTTCAATCCTCTGCTGCTGTCAAAATAGGTTCAGTAGGAAGAATTGGCCGGCCGACAGTTTTGAGTGCCGATCGGCAAAGAATGTTTGGTCGAGAGTTCAATTTATGGTCGATGACCACTTCAAAATGGCCGCTGATGATCCCACTCAGCCGGTGGTGTTCTACAATACTCAGAGAAGCAATCTTGGGAGCTGTGAAATTTTCAGAGAAGCAGAACAGTCAAAGCAGAGGCAAACTTGTGCATGGCGTTGGATTTCCGAGCAAACCCGAGCACGCGCGCATTGGATCCTCTTCCCGAGGCCTTTACTGCTTTCTTAGCTTAGTTAATTTGCTTAATTAATTAGGTGGTTTGTAATAATTAATTAGCTTGTAGGTTAATTAATTTGTATTATTCTTTTGGTCCCTCCGAGCGAGGGTAAATTTGTAATAAGTGTGGGTGCGTGTGTGCATGTCTTCCAACCCCCATTTCTTTCTCCCTTTTACTTACCTGCTTTGATGGTTAGTATTAGGACATGTTTACTTTAGCATACCTTATGCTATGCATGCGTGCATCATTCATTAGTCTTGCATACACCAAGCTCGGCACATCATGCTAACTGCATAAAGTATTTCAAGTCTAACTTGAATACATGCTATCTGTGCATTTTTCACATGTCATTTATAGACTAGCCGAGCCTACTCTAGTGACATTCCGTATGCGTTGCATTAGGCATTTAAACATGGACTTGGATCATGCATGATTGCTAACATGTTCTTGTTTTGGCACGGGGTACTAGGTGAGCACTTTATGCTTTAGCATCTCGCATGAGTGTGAATGTCAACATGACGGCATGCTTACCATGTAGCTAGATGCTTATTTGATGAACTGCTTGAATGCCTGTGGGTGAAGGTTGGATTGGTTGTGAGTTGGGATTAACTCGTTGAAATCCGTATTTTAGCCTACTTGTGAGTAGCAAATTCCAAAGCGTTTTTCAAAAAACGGATATGCAATGTTTTGTTCCAATTAGGCAATTTGGTCTATACTGTTTGTTGTGCGCATAACATAGTAAATCTAGGCTAATGACCGGAATAGAACACATAACTTTTCAAAAACGGATGTCACGGTAGTAGAGCCGACTTCGATCGGGCGAGAGGGGGTGCTCATAGCTGACCTTCCCAATCGTACCCAAGCTCCAAGCCGAGGCAACTTTGGTGATGACGGACACGTGGCCTTTGGCACCGAGTCAGGTTCCTAATCCCCATAAAAAATATTTAGGTGGCGACTCTGTATCTGGCAAAGCAGTCCATGTTTGGCACTTCTTTTCAAAAATCTGTTTCTCAAAACGATTTGCCGGATTTGGACTCTTTGGTTCAGATTAAGGACCGTGACACAAATTGAGTCCGAACTGTAGTGAGGCCCACGGGCGCGTCTACACTTGGTTGCAGAGAGTGCAACTTATTTCTGTGATGGCTCGATGGTTTAATGTAAGCTAACATCTTCTTCTGCTTAATTTTACCTACTTGTTCATTTTTATTCTTCTTCTTATACTGTTCTTTTTGTTGCTTTAATTATAATTATTATTATATTTATACATCACTGCCAGTCCTTTTTTTGAGCTGAAACGACAAAGTATGTATTACTTGGGTTTGTTTGCAAGCCCTTATTTTAGATGATATATATACAATCTTGGAATTTTAAGCTTCAATCCAAGTCGAACCTCAGGGACTAAGAGGCTAAATTATGTTAATTCAAAAGTCGGTGTTCTCAAATTAATTCAATGAGTTTGAGTTGTGATTGGTTAAACTAAAAATAAGAATTAAGATTCAACTAAATTAAACGATGTCAAAGGCAAATTGTGTTTCAAAAGTTGAGGACTTAGTATTTCAAATCCATTGTCTACTTGAGCCACAATCTTCATTAAGAACACCATAGTTGGACCTTCGGAAATCACCTCTTCTTGCTTGGGAGCCATCTTCTCAACGTATGAACAACCTTAATCTCAAGTTAGGAAGTTCTATTTATACACTTGTTCCCAATTAGGTCTTTTTTAGTCAAAATAGCATGCACTTTCGCACCTAACTCCCGCTCAGGCAGAGCTTCACTTCTGTTTGAGTGGAATGGGGCAATAGCTTCACTTGAAAAAGTTGGCTTTGACAAGACATTTGGCAGGTTCCACTTGAGCCACACTCACCCTCTACTCGAACGATTTTGGGCAGTGTGTTACTTCATTGCTTCTTGCTCTGTTTTGCAGCTTTTCATTTCCATTGATCAACCAACCTACAAAAGTGTGAACAACCTATTAGAATGCCTAGTAACATAGATAAATGGACCAAAAGTGTTTCTTAGGAGGCCCCCAAATGTGCAACATATGGGCTTAGATTAACTTCTCATTTTACCTCATCATTTTATGTCAAAACGTAATTATAAATTAAAGTACATTTTAGTTATCCAAATAAGCTTTTTGGGGTAAGAAACGCAAACTCTCGATGACTATCAATTTGTTATCAATCCATTTATATAGGGTTACATCCCTTTTAGGAAGTGGCCTAAGAAGCAATGACATGTCTAAGAAGATAATGTGTCAATACCGACACGACACGACACTCGTCGGACACTTTTTAAAATTAATATAAATATTATATCTATTATGTTCCTTTAGACTCTAAAAATTATTATCTTTAAGTTAAATATTCATATACATGACATATAATAGTTATTTATCCTTACATATGACATATAATAAATATATAAAATTATATATTCTTCAGGTGTCCCTTACGTGTCGTGTCCTATATTTTGTCAAAATTTTCAAGTTTGTGTATCAATGTCGTGTCAGATGTCATATCTGGGTTACTTAGGAAGTGATTGTATGTTGAAAAATGCTAGGGTGGTTAAATTTTGGAATATAATCAACTTATTGTTCCTGTTTTTTTAGTGAGGAAGAATTTTCCACATTAAAAGAATGGGCATTAGTTTCTATGCTACAACATTTTTGGTGTGGTGGATAGTTTTTGTGCTTTTCATCTTTATACAGAAGTAGTTATTAAAAAAAGAAGGAAAAAAAAGGAGGTAAGTTCTGCTTACCAAACCAAAATTAGGATTTTAATTCTGAATTCATGTGTAGTTCCCTCCGTTGTGTCATATGCAAGGTGAACATTATGTTGAAAGAGTAGTATTTGTAGTGGTGTCTCATGTGTGAGATTTGTAATATTAGTTTATATAAGGGTAGGTAGCGTTTGTTTAGTCATAATTTTCTAATTAGGATTTAGCTTTTGTTATATATATATATATATATATATTATTGCTTGTAATCTTCTTATTAATGTAATGCAAAATATCGTTTCCCTTTTCTTATATGGTATCAAAGCATTTACAACCCTAGCTACCACCATCATCCATTGCCAATTAGGGTTTTGTTGGTCACAGCCGCTTCTCTTTCTTATAATCGTTTGTCGTTGTTAGGGTTTCGTTGGTCACAATCCCTTCTTCTCTTTTTCGGGTTGTTTACCGCAATTAGGGTTTACTCAATTGTAGTCCCGTCAGTGGTAGCCCTCTTTCTTCCATCGATGGTGGCTCATCTTCTCTTATCTTCTGTCGATCGCTCCTCCTCCTCTACTCAGTCTTTTCTGGTTGTAATCCTCTTCTCTAGTTCGTGGTTGTTCGAAGATCTGAGTGTTATGTTCTCGATCTGGATTGTGGTAACCTTCAGTGGGTCCTTGCTTCAATTGTGACTGGTAATATTAGGTCTTCCAGGTTTCTCATCTCTCCCTATTTCTTTCAATTGCTGTAGTCTTTGGTTTTTATTGGTTTGTGTGTCCTTGCTTCACTGTTAGTGTGGATTGAAGTGTGATTGACTTAAAAAATAAAAAGTTGCAGACTTTCTTTTGCTCAACGAAAAGCAAGTTCAGTGTGGCTTGCATATTTTATCATGTCCAAGGATAAGTTGCAAGCCATTACATTCTCCACACATGGACACACTGATTCTAAAGTCAAGGGCTATTAGTTGGCTCATCACACATGCAATAAGGAGAATGCCCAAGTCCTCACATGGCTGCACAATTCAAGAGAGCTTGACCCAACCCTATTTTCCATCCTTTCTACTCCATGGTTTTTGTCCATCACACAACAAAGGGAAGGCCTACCTCACACTTCCATCTCCGCAAAATTCCAATTTTTCAATTCCAATTTTTCATTTCCTAATGGTGCTTCATCACATTTTTCTTCAACAAAGGCAGAGAACTCAACCCCCCCTAAAAATTTCTTCTCAAATAATGACGATTTGTCACCTAGTTTTTCAACAAAGTTAGAGAGCACAACCACAAACCCACATTCCTCCTTCTGCCCACGCTCTTTGTTGATTTTACAAGTAGGGACAGCCTCAACAGTGTGCTTTTGGGGCTAATTTTAAGTGGGCCTTATGGCTGAAATTCCCTAAAAATTTCTTCTCAAATAATGACGATTTGTCACCTAGTTTTTCAACAAAGTCAGAGAGCACAACCACAAACCCACATTCCTCCTTCTGCCCACGCTCTTTGTTGATTTTACAAGTAGGGACAGCCTCAACAGTGTGCTTTTGGGGCTGATTTTAAATGGGCCTTATGGCTGAAATTGCAATAAGAGTATAGGGGACAAGTGGGTTTGTGTAAGGTAATAAATATAGGCAAGAGTTTAAGCTTGAAAAATATGAGATTTTGGCACTGTTTAGCGGCTGTGAACAGTACTCATGAACTATGTTACACGGACTCTTCAAAATAAATCAAATACTCGTGTCGGACACCCGACACTCGGACATGGCTATGGGATGTGTTGGATATTTTTTAATGGATACTTCATATATAATTGTGTATAACACTATTATTATATGTGCATATTGTCGTATAATTGCTATAAATATCTTTTTGACACTATAAGTTACATATAGTACCATTTTATCTCACATACTTTTTTAAAAATATAAAATATGATATTTCTTTGTTGAATCCGCGTACCCTTAAATTTATAGTTTGATGAGTCTGACATCTAGATACATACCTGCACCCGACACCCATACCTGAGCCCATGTAACATAGCTCATGAACAGTGTTTTGGTTGTTAAAGTGCTGAAATTCAAGAAAGAAAGAAAGAAAGGAGGAGAAGAAGAAATAGTTTCTAGGAGTCCTTAGGCATCACACCTAAGGGTTGACTCAATCTATAAAAAATCTTCAGAGCTCTGAAAATTCTCTAAAATATCAACTCTATTGAATTAGAGTCATTACATGACATTGTATAGACTTTAGAAACTTCCTTACTTCAAAATAGGAAATTACTAAACTTGTGACTTCCAAAATTAATTTAAGATTCAATAAAAAACATAAACAAAAATTAATTAAATAACTTGACTCACAAGACGACCCATGGGCAATCCACACAACCCATATCTAGAAATTTTGCAAATTACCAAAATAACCCTACCATTAAAAATCTTAAAAAATATAAAAATAATCATAAAATAAGACTCTTAACACTATAAATATGATTATGTATGGTTACTGTCGATTTTTCTTTAAAATCATGCCAATTTCCAATGCCGCCGCTACTTTAAATTTACTCTTCCTTGAGGTTCTTATTCCCTGCATCAGCCAGCTTGGTAAAGGAAAAGACGGATCTTTATATGTATGAATAAAATATATATATGGTTACATGTTTAGATGCCAAAAAAATTTAGTCTTAAACAGAGAAATGTAGATACGCATAGGGATGGCAATCTGAACCTGGCCCGACGGTGACTCGATCCTCTGACCCCGAATTGAGCGGTAATTCCCTGAAAAATATCTCCTACGGGCCCGGGATGGTATTCAAAAAAAAATCCCCGATGATGTTCGGACCGGGGACGGGGATACATATCCCAGCCCCGCCCCCAACCCCCGCCCCAAATAGCCCCGATGTAAAATTACCATTATGCCCAGTATATATATATATGTGTGCTTAGGTTTGGTTCACTTCATTCACACACTCACAGAAGTGTTGGGTGCTGCTCTCTTTGTCTCTCTCACCGCTTAGGGTTTCGCCTCTTTCTCTCTCTCTCTCTCTCAACGACGGTAGTGGCGCTTATCCCTCACCACCGCTGCTTTCCTCTCCCTCTCTCTCACATACGATGACTGTCACTTTTGCTGCTCCCTCACTGCCGCTGCTTTCGCCTCCCTCTCTCACTCTCTCATATACGACGTCGATGGCTGTCGCTCCTCCCTTACTGCCGCTCGTGAACAGGTCGTAATCGTTGCCACCGATCACCGATCTGAATAGATCGTGAACCGTGATCATGAACCGTTGCCACCGATCGTGAATCGTGAAGCTCACTGAACAGATCTGAACATATTGTTGATGATCTTGATATATATATATGTGTGTGTGTATTTGTGTGTGTGTGAGAGAGAGAGAGAGAGAGAGATGAACAATCTCAGATCTCTCTTTTTTTTCTTTCTTTTTTATGTTATTGATGATGATGATAGATACAATTTTAGATTTTTTTTTTTTTTTAAAGTTGATGATGATGATTGTTGATGATGATGATGATGTAATTTACTGAAAAATAGATTAATTTTTTTTTTTGTGTTGAACAAAATTATAAAAAAAAAAAAAAAAAAAAACAAGTCAGGGATTTTCGGGGTCGGGGAAACCCGATCCCCGTTGGGGGCAGAGGTGGGGGTGATAGCGTCCCCGTCGAGGATCGGGGGCAGAGACGGAGATTTTTTTGCCATCGGGGATTAGGAACGGGGAGTGTAATCCCCGGCCCGGCCCGGCCCGGCCCGTTGCCATTCCTAGATACGCACATATCTATAAGCGTATAAATGTGTGCTTGTTTGTGGAAATTACCAGATGGGGTATTTGAGTTCTCTGCCGATTCTGTCAAGATGAGAAAAGTCCTCTGTTTTTTTGAAGTAGACAAAGAGTGTTTCTGTGTGCCTGAGAGAGAGAGAGAGAGAGAGAGAGAGAGTCAGCTAGGCGTGTCATATTATTGGTGGAATGGGACTCCACATAACGTAGGTGACGTGGAGTACTTGTTACACAGAATATTTTTTCCTTCTGTTGATGGCTTGGTTCAGGAACTACACAAAAATTAAGATAAAAAGGAAAATAGATGTCTAACGTGAACTTATTTTTTTGATTGGTTTTATTTTATCATTGCTCTTAAGCAGTTGAGTAGCTGATTCGAAGATGATTTGCCGCACGGCACAGTGGAAGATGGGGAGCCTAGCTGCTGATTGGGCAACGAATGTCGTTTACTTTTTTGACTCAGAAGATGGACTTGTCAGCTGTTATTTCACATGAATGGCTAGATAAAGCTTTTAACTTAATCCAGTGTTGGTAAAATATGCCTATCCTCTTGGGATTTACTTCCTTGTGTTGATGATTTTAGTTAATGTGTATGGCTGTTATAATATCTTCATTCATACTTGCTGCATTGAGTGTATCTTTGCTGTAATTTTTCCCCAACTAATCTCCAAAGTCCTTTGGAGATCCACTGATGAGAAACCATATATATACACTATTTAATGTTGGTTCGCTTGTTTGAATATGTTCATTGGATATAAATCTACCGATCATTTTGTCTATACAATTCAGCTTCAGTCCATCTGTTGTCAGGCAGCTTTGGGCAAGAGGTTTGTGGGGGGAGGAGAAAAGCCCAGTTTGGTATTCTGGGATTTAGTTTTCTTGGCAGGAGGATTAGTCAAGTACGCTTTTACTTCTGGCATGAGATTTTCATTGGACAGATTACATCTCAAACAAAATTATCAATACCGTCTCGGGGGCAAGCACAAGACAATATGGTACCAGAACAAAAATCAAACACTTACGTGGCTGAAAGGAGCAGCTGCAGCGATGAACAACACAGATCCATAGCTGTCTGGGTTCCATTTTTTGCACAAACCGACCATAAAAAAGATGTTACAAATTTTACAAAGAGATCCCAACACATTACCAAACACCAAAAATACATGCCATGTTACATACTTTGATATTTTATCTCATTTTCATGATAATTAAAATTGCTGCCGTGAAAAAGTAGTTGGATTATATGTAGGCTATTGCTTGGCATTGGTGTGGCTATATGTATCTATCTATACTGTATATATAATCAAATGTAGTGGTTTTGTCAAAAATCTGTAAATATTCATTCCTAAATTTTTATAATTATAAAATTATCTCTTTCCTACGTGGCAATCCTTTTTAATTGTCTTTCGTGTTTTCTATTTTCCTCCATTTTCTATTTGTTTGATTAATTAAAATGAAAATTAATTTCATGGCTTATGGATAAAGATTTGAATTTCAAAATTCCTCCATATAGATAAACATATAAAAACTGATAAATAATTTATGAAAATTAATTTCATGGTATACAGATAAAGATAAAAATTAAATACTTAATTTCATAACTTATAGATAATTTAAAATTTCTTCCCATAAATAAACATATAAGAATTGATAAATAATTTATAAAAATTAATTCCATGGTTTACAGATAAAGATAAAGATTAACTAATTGATTTACAAAAATAATTAAAATAATAAAATTTAGATAAATATATGATTTGTTAATCCATATCTATCAAAAATATATCTATCTAAATCTTTATTTTGGTTTACTTATATTTTTTTTTTCCTTTTATCACATATTATCTTTTTTTATTTTGAATTTTTTATCTTGTGAAATACTCTTAGCTATAACTTCTTATCTCCTCTTAACCTACTCCTCATAATTTCTATTATTTGTTATTATCTACCAAGTGATAAAGATATATATATAAAAAGAATGGTTGGCTATGAATAAAAAGAGTATTAATAATTAAATAATGAAAGCTGTATGGGAGAAGGCAATACAAAAATGTCACAAAATTATTTTCCGTCACTATATTTATCCAAGGTAATAATTTGATATTCTTTCTTTTAATTTTTAAAATATTTTACATTAGATCATTGCTATGTGTTTTTTCTTTTTCTTTCTTTTTATTTTTTTTATAAGATTGTCATTTGTTATAGTATTTTTTCAATCCCATCTCTAAATTTTCTCTTTGAAATTTCTATTTTTTAAATAATAAAGTTTAGAACTAATTTCTTATCAAATTTGTTTTCTTGGTGCTTATTTTATTGAAAGATTGAGACAAGTAAAACTTTCATATGATATATGAAATTAATGAATATAATACAAAGATGGTAGAGAAATACTACATATTTGTTAATATCTCTCTTTTATTATTAGTTGATTTATTAGATTATATTATCAATTTAGAGCCCATATGATTTAATTCAATGTCCATGACTTTAGTTATATTCGACCATTTTGTTGTTGAGTAACCTATATAATTTTTTTTTTTGGTTTATAATGATTAAAGCTATCATTTGTTACATTTCTTCAAATACAATTCAAATAATTTGTCATCATTTTTTTTAATAAACAAAATGTATTAAACTATTTTCTTATATAATTTTTATAATCCTATGAAATTCTTATCTTGATTTTTTTTTTGAATGTTGTAGAAACTATGCAAGTATTATTCAAGTTATGGAGAATGATTACTTACAAATTATAATTAAAAGTTGAAATTTATTCATAATTTGGTCCCACAATAATAATATAAATCATTGATTTAAAATAAGTAAATTTATGATAACTTATAAAATTTATTTCTTTTAATGCTTTGTTTTTGTTTTTGTTCTGAAAGCACCGTGGAGAGGACGAATCTGTCTTAAGGACACAGTGTTAAACACTGGACTTGATCAGAAAAATAATTCGAAGAAATTAAATCAAGTAAGTTATTTAATTACTTTCAGTGTTGTTTTTATTTGTTCATTTATTCAGATTTTAATTTTGTTTTTGTAACAAAATAAAATCTGTTTGTTTTTTATTTATTTATTTTTATTTCGAGTTTGATTTTGGTAATCAAACAAATTCTCTCCTTTTCTCTATTTCTTTTATTCTTGTTGTTGTTTTGTACACAACAGAATTTAATCTTTTTAAATACAGTGAAGATTGTCTAACAGTTAGATTATATGTAGGCTATTGCTTGGCATTGGTGTGGCTATATGTATATATATATACACAAAAGTTCTTTTACTCTAGCACAAATTGCTATGATGGGTAGCTTTTCAACATGATTAGGGGCAGTGATCCCATTGGTTGCTCCTGTGCAATTCCTGTGAGAATTCGAGTATACAAATAAAATAAATAATTAAATAATAATTATTTTATAATTTCAAATATTTTGTTTGTAAATTTTTAGGGAAAATTAGTCTAGGGTCCCTCTCTCACTTTTCGTAATGGAAGAGATCCACAAAATTATTTTTTGATGTCTAAGGTCCCTAAACATATATCAGAGAAATTTGACTCTTTGTCTCTCCTTCTCTACTGCAGAGCAGCACTTCCTCTCTCTCTCTCTTAGAAACCCTAGAACCTCAGCTTCTCACTTCTCTCTCTCTCTCTCTCTCTCTCTCTAGAATACATACACAAATATATATATATACATATAGCTTCAACGGCGGTGGAGCTGAATTGAAAAGCATGGAACATCTGATCTCTTCGAAGAGGCCGGTCTCGAGCTCCTTCGAAGCTTCGGAGAGATTGAAAAAAAAAAAAAAATAAAGAGGTTACAACAAAGGAAGGATTAGGTGTGTTGTGCTGTGTATCAAAGGATAGCTCTTTTAGGTTTTCTTCTTTCTTTCTTCTTTATCCTTATTCTATTATTATTTAGTTCATTAATGGAAAGGTTGTAGGTTTATGTATTTTGTATGTATATACACTGTTAAGAAACCTGAGAAAATAAATTGTGTAAAAAATGGGTGTGATTCTTAGTTTAAAAATTTTGTACAGAACCACAGACTTTAAAAATCGAGGAATCATATCAAACCGATAAATTTTGAATTGAAATTTTTACAGTAGATTAATTACATATTGAACTCCATATCAGAATTTTCTTATAATTTTTGGGAGTCAAAATCTATCTAGAAAACTGGTATAAAACAATAACTTCGAAAATGTCATTCTCTTTGGGTATAAATCTGAAAATTATCAAATTAGCGTCATTAGAACCGGTTACAAGTCTAGTTTCTTACGTTTTTGGCCTTGCATTGATTGCTCGTGTATACTAAGAGAACCATTAATTTCTTTAAAGTGCTGAAGAAAACAACTTGTTTGGACATAATTAATTGTAAATAATTATTTTGATAAGCAAATCAAGTAAAACGAATTGGGTTTGAAACTTAGAATATATTAGTTGATATCTTGAAGGTTGTGGAATTTTTCGAACAGTGTAGAGTGGGTTTTTAATTTTCAGAGTTAGTGAACAGTTCAGGAAAACTTATCAAAAATTCTATTTTATCTCAAAGTCATATTTAATTAAGTTTCGACCGGAACCCATGTCTTGGTTAATTTTGAGACCTTGAAGAACATGAACTTAGGTATTATTTAAGAGTAACGGTGAGTGGGGTTCGAGCTGTGTTAATGCGCTTTAGTGTGGGGTACTTAGTTTATTATTCTTTTTAGTATTTTTAAATTAGTAGTGACGTGTACTTTTCATACTTGGTTCAGGGTACTAGTTGGACTTTTATACTCTATTCGGGGATTACATTTTTCCGTTTTTAGGTGAGTAGTTGCATGCTACATATTTTTGTAAATGTTTCTCTACCCTGAACTGTTGGAAAATTAAATTGTTGTTTCAGGGCTAAACTGTTTTGATAAATTATTATAGTATCAATGGAATTAAATTATTTCTGAAACATGTGTAAACTTGGCATACTGTAAACTATTTGTTATGGTTTCATGTTTATAATGGTGAACTATCATGTTTTGCGAAACTGAATTGTATTGATTATTGGGACCATCTGTATATTTTAGTCCAGGAAAATTGTTTCATTGTGTGTAGTAACTCTGTCCACTAGGGAACAGATCCGGGTTGGGCCGTGATGACTTCAGTGCTCAACGAATGTAAGGAAAAGATCTAGGCTAGGCTAGGTGACCTTCAATCGGATCGTCTTAGAGAAAAGGCCCGGGTTACCACCCCGAAGATGACTCTTGGTTCGATATTGGATCCAACGGGCTTATTGCCTTCAGACCTACGTGGCATGTTACTTGTTATTCTTGGTACCCAGAAAATTATTGGTGATCATGTGGTCATCTGTTTTAAGTGGAAAATGTCATTTATTATGTTCTTGAAAGACATGAGTATTTTAACTATTGAACTATGGAACCTTCTTTCTGAAACAGACTATCTTTATCAAAACTGTATGTCAATCTAGTTTCTGTGATATATATCTTATTTTGGAATTGAACCCTATTTTCAAAACTATATTTACTATCCATGTTGCTACTCACTGAGCTATCAGCTGACTTAGTTGTTTATCATTTCTAGGTGTTAGAAGGACTTAGAGTGAACTCATGGTGTAGCGGGGACTCAATTTTATGGACCTCTAGGACATTCATTATTTTGTTTTAATTTGTTATGTTGGTTTTGTGCATACATTATAGTTGGATTTTAATTAGAATTATTTTATTTTTGTGGGCGGCTTGTGTTCCAT